ATTCATTTAGGGCTTAAATTGACTTAAGGATGAGTTAAGGTGTAAGGGATGGGTGAACGGTGTAAATATACATGCAATTCATAGCTATGATGTAAAGCTAAATTTTCAGCATCATTACTCAAGTCTTCAGTGTCAGTTGATCTTTCAGAAACCTTTTTTTAAGATGTTGATTTAGGGCTTGAGGTTGAACTAATATAATGGTGATTATCAAATGGTGCTGATTTGCTGCTCAAGAAACATTTCGGATTGCTATCAATGCTAAAAACAGATGTGATGACAAATAATTTAGTGTAAACTTTTTTCTAAGATTTAATAAATCAATTAATCATAAAAAATTAAACAAAATGAAAATCACAAATATTACTTCATTAGCAGCAAATCTATATATTTACTAAGTTCTGAAGAATCATGTGATGTGAAATTTAATACCACTAACATGTTTCAATGTCAAAACTTTCTTAAAACAACTGCAATAAAGACAAGTAACAGATGCATAATATATAGACATGTAACATGTGCATAATGATGTGCAATGGAAATTCATATGAATTAATCCTATGCTTAAAGTTACCTGTCTTTCCTGTATCTCTGTGATCAGCTCCCTTCAGAAATTTAGGAATCTTGAGTTATATTTTTTTGTAGCAGGAGGTTATTCTCTCACTCCTGAAACCACAGAACACTTTTTTACTTAACATTTACTTTAAGATACCATGAAATATCAAAACACGATTGAACTTTTGATTCACGGTCCTTTACAGTAACATTACAATGCGTATTTTAGACTACATATGGAGTGCATTCAATAAAACATTGACAAAACCTCTCATCTACACATAAAGAATAAATAAAAGCCAAAACTTTAACAAACAAGTTTAACAAGAGCTAACATTAAGTAAGTTAACGTAATATTACCCCGACGCTAACGTTACCAGTGCTAATATGCTAACGGACTTTTACGAAGACTTACCACTCTTATATAACATAATATTCAACTGAATATTCATCAATTGCCAATAATAAATGTGTGAGGAACAGTTTTATGTAGTATTTGCTTTGTTTTAGGGACTAAACTTACCTGAAAACAGTCAAAACGGCAGCTTGAGAGAAGTCGTGTTGTGTCTTTTAGGTGGTGTCGTGTCGTGTTGTAGCTTCGTTTCCCATAGCAACATCCTCTCCGCTCCAGTGTTGGAAGCAAGACGCGCGCGCGCACATTAAAGTCTTGCAGTATTACATTTATAAACATGATCACTCCATAGACAATTTAAATAATAACCTTGTATTTTATATCTTGAATTTAAAAGGTATTTAGCAGTTTTATATACGCTATTATCTTTAAGACGAGCTTTATAGCCTACTAAACTGTTACAAAACAAACACTTTATTTGTGCATTCACTGTCAAAAATAAATAACCAATAAATATAAATGCAAGTATATATAAAACAAAGATGTCACTCTGTAAAAAGGTGTTTATTTTAATTAAACAGCCGAAATGCAAAACATACTTGATTTTTACACTGGGAAAATGTATTAGAAAAAGCCACAATAAAAAAAAGCAAACAGCAGTTAACACCAGAAAAAACAACGTTTTCATTATTAAAGCATAACAATAAAACTTTTTATATTTTAATGAATTGAAATCATGTATTGTAGGCATTTTGGTCAGTTTTACTGCATTAATGTAGGCTATTTAAAGCTGGACCGACCGACGCAGTTCACATGATGCATGTCGAGTTTGTCTAATTTATTATGCACGCAAAAACTTACTTGTAAACCAAATATGTTGCCGGATTCTTTCATGGGCATGAGAGATCAAGTGCTTATGAAGTGCTTCGTCGGCCTCTGGTCGTTAACCGACGCAGAGCCGACGTTTGTTGAGCTGGAACAATAGAACACACGACCGAACGATCCTGCGTATGTTTGGCCGACCATATACCGATGCTAGAATTAAAGGGGCCGACGTGTTGACCTTCGGCCGACGTCGGCCCAACGTATGTGTGCTGTCTGGGTAACCGCTAATATTGCCCATAATATATTGCACGTTGGACGTGAATTTGTTTAGAACAACAAGCTCGGGTGAAAGGTGTAAACAAACATGGCGGACACACGAGACCAACCTTAAATTAGAGATGCTTCGGGAAATTTGTTTGAATGACTGTTAATTAATATTTAGCCAAACGGAATATATTTAAACCGCGTTTTCCGTGTTATATTTCTTCTACAAAAACAATGTGGACTTATATCAAGATATGTTTGGACATTAACGTCCGAATGCATACTTACTCAAAGATCTGAGGAGATTTCTCTGCTTGAAAGACTTGCGTATGGCAAGTAGGTAATTAAATATGAAGGAAATGTGGATGATGTGCTTAGAGGATTGTCTGGGGGGTGTAACTAAGCAACATAACAATCTGTTAATGAGGAAGTAGTTTGTCCCAAAGTTTGCATACTGATCTATTACAGTCAAAAGTATATACTTTTCTTTTATTTAAAAAATATATATACTTTAAGGGTGTAGTATGTGAATTAGGCATAACTTTCCTAAAAAATTCCTAAAATAAAATTATGTAAAAAGTCTGAAAATACTTATGTCATATAAATATGCCCCCTTGTGTAAATTAATGATTAAAGTGCTGTAGTTACAAAAATGCTAATGTATGTTAAAAATGTAACACTTGGCTATTCAGTCGTGATGGACCAGCACTGCTTAAAATAATCATTATAGTTTTTTTCCTGTTGTTTCAAAGATTCACGCTAAAGGCACAATCAATTTCCCAAACAAGTCTACTGCAGTATTCAAAAATGTTAGCATCCTGTCAGAATTTTAAGCTGGACAAAAAAAAATAAAGACCCGTTTTTGTTGATAGGGTTTACTCTTTTTGCATGGTATTATTATTATTATTATTATTAATATTATTATTCGTAATATCGATAAACAACTGAGAATATGGCTATTAAATAAGAATATGGCTATTTAATATAAAACTTTTATTTTTCCAGTGCCCCCTCCCATCATCCCCCCAACCCTGACTGGTTCTTGGTGCCCCCTGTGCCGCAGCCCGTTAATAAAATCCTAGAATCACCACTGATGTATACATGAAAGTTAAGGGGAAAATGAAATTAGAGATTGAACGGTACCAGATCCAAGCCTGGACTATCATAAGGTACTCTTGAGTTTCATTTCCATGTGTATTTTATTCTGATTCCGATCAGTGTGGAAAATTAATGTCAGGCTGAGAAACCACTGGATGCCATATGGATCTAGATAAAGATGTTTAAAAGTGCAATTCCCATTGACAGGCAAAATCCTCATTGCTTAACCATGACATATAACAATAACTATTCAGTCTTTGTGCAAATTGCTTACACCTGAGATAGATTTTAAAATCCCACGCCAATGATTTTTTTATATAGTCAAGTTGAGGAAATGTGTTATTGTTACTTGTTTTCTTTCTTGAACCAAAAATCCAAAACAGATTAACACCATTTAATTGTTTATATAAAAAAGAAAACATATTGACTTGACTTTCTCAATCTAACAGATCATTTAAAGTGACAGTTAACCCAAAAAAAGAGAAAACTCAGTCAATTACTCACATTCCACTTGATCAAAACTTGTTTGAGTTTTTCTGTTCTGTTAAACACAAAAGAGGATAATCAAGAGTTCACACTTAGCTGATGATTGATAATAAAGTGTGTTTGGCATGCTGTCCTGGAAGAGAGTCCTGAGCTCAGGGTAAGGGCAAGGGCAAAAGGATAGTTTGAGCTCAGGTAGATCTCGAGAACTCCCATGCTTGTTTATAGCTAATTATAAGTTAGGAATTGCTATGGGGAGATATATTGCTGACTAAGAACTCATCTATGGTGCCAATTTGGTTTGGTCAATTCACTTGTGTTGCATGTCTTTGGACGGTGCATGGAGGAAACCGGGGAACCTAGGGGAACCTATGTGAGCACGGGTAGAACATGTAAACACTGCACAGAAACGTCGACTGGCCCAGTAAGGACTTGAACCAGTGACATGCTTGCTAACCACTTGGCTGCCATGCCATCGTATTTAGGAAAAGAGAGGAGGAGTGAGGGTGGAAGGGGGATACCTCAAGACGATGATAACTGAGGTAAGAAACTCTGGTTCTTTATAGTGACTTAGGAATCATCCGATTGGTAAATCATGTGTTAGCTAATGCAGGACGAGCTGTGGTCAATCATAAGCACGTGTTCCTCACAAAATTAATTTATAAATAAACCACACAAAATGTTAGCTGTTGACCTCCATTGTTTTTTTTGTTGTATACACGTCAACAGTTATTTTTCCACCAAAAGATGTTAATTAGACTTTTACAGAAGTGAGAAATTGCATAAAACATTTGTGAATTAAGCCCTGTTTTTATCCACTGAATCAGAGAACAAAATCACCATGTCCTGATAAACAGGCGCCAAATATCAAAAACAAAAATGGAATTTGAAAAGAAAAGCCACTGTGGGAAAATATAATAAATTACTTGTGCCTCAGAAGGCAAAATGCACTGAACGCAGTCATAATTTGGCACTAAAGAGAGTTCTAGGAGGACCAAACTACTTTAATGACGGATTTTGCATTTCATTTGCTCAATGTGGTCGGATCACTGGTTTGTCCATTAATGCTGTGCCATCGCACCCCGGTTCAGGCAGAAAATCGGATTGCCATTGCTCAGTATGAATTGGCTGTATGTGCGCCTGTTAAAACAAAATTACATGACTTTTTTCATTAAATTATTCTGTAAATGTGTTCCCATTATATGCACATTTTTATCAGAATAAAAGTGTATACCCAGCCTGATTTCACGAAAAATGGTAAGTATTTTACGTTTTGTCAGTTTAGTGGGTAATTTGTACGAATTCGTACGAGTTCAGTCGCACGAAAATGTACGATTTTAAAAAGGAGGCGTGGCACACAACCCCACCCCTAACCCCAACCGTCATTGGGTGATGAGCAAATCGTACTAAATTGTACGAATTAGATACGAATTAGCCACTAAATTAAAACGTTACGAATTTCCGTGAGATTGGTTGGTATACAAAATAGTCGTGCATATACATATATGTATTTTGTGCAAATGCTGGCATTTCCAATATTTGCAACAGTGCAAAAGATTCATAAATATAGGTGGATGGAGCCAGATATTGGCTACTGATTCGTAACAATATCTTCTTTATTGTTCAACAGAAAAAAAAGAAACTTAATAGTTTGGAAACGGTTGATGGTCACTCTTCTGGCTTTAATCTACTAGGTCAGCTTTTCTTCTCTTTTTCTCTTTTGATGCATGATGTCTCTGTATGGTAAAATGACAGGCAGTTGTAGAACACAGAGCTCCTCCTGGTTCCTCAGATGGCGTTATGGAAAACTCCACAGGTCCTCTCCTCCTCCTCTGTCTGAGAAATGAAACACATGAGGGACTGACGGTGGGCCTGGCCGTGGCTCAAACGCACCGCAGGTGGAATATTTGTGTTATTGTGGAAGAATTCACACTGCTCTCCAAGGTTGCTCTTCATTCCTGAATAGATGTTTTCAGTGGTGAAACCCTAGAGTGCAAGGAACAGTGTAACAATTACAGGAGTATCTGTACTGCAGATCTTGTGAGCTCATTCACATGGTGCTGATTGCTGAATGAAAGGAGAAACTCACTGTGATGAAGGACAAAGAGCTTCCCTCCTTCATGTTTGTTGGAGTTTGTGACATCAGAGCAAGCACTTTAATAACACTCACACTAATCAGGTCTGACCTTCTCTCTTTATCTTATGTTGAGCAGTGAAGCATTGCAGATGCTCTTTTTAAAAATGATACAATTTTTGTTTAATGTTGAAGAGAATAAGAAATCTGGGTCACATTTTATTTTGATGGCCCATTTATTGAATTTAGGTTAAATTGCATCTACATGCCAACTAATTTGCATTACATTTTAAGTAGACTGTTGGGTTGGGGTTAGGGTTAGTGTAAGTTGACATGTACTTGCAAAGTTTCTTCTAGCCAATTCAAGGTCTTTTTAGCAGCAGTATCAACAAATATTAAGCAAACAGTCTACTAATACTCAATTGAACCATTAAAATAAAGTGTTACCAAAATCTGTTGTAAAACTGGGTTGTCAAACTTTACACTTTAGACTTTAAATGATAGTATTATAATTAGTATTATTGCAGATAAGATAAGATTGATTGATTGATTGATTGATTGATTGATTGATTGATTGATTGATTGATTGATTGATTGATTGATTGATTGATTGATTGATAAATATTATGTTGGGTTTTTGCATATCAGTGATGTTTACCAGTTAATAAACATACGGAGTAACATTTTAAAAACATAAAAACACAAATGTGAAAGGCAAACAATATTATTATTACCATTAGAATTCTTAATATTATTAGAAATCTGTTGGTTTTAAAAGAATAGCTTGATCTATTGCCTTTTGAATATGTATGAATATGTACCATAAATAATAATTATCAATCAGCCAATTAATGAATCTTATCTGCAATAATATAATGTAATAATAATATTCAATCATTAAGATTTATTAATTTAAAAAGTATAAATAATAATTGTAATAATAATAATAATATACCATATTTATTTACAGATAGGCTTAATTATTATTCATTAATTTTCTATATTATTTTTGGTCTACTAAAACAGTAACAATTAAAATGTATTTTAACATGCACTGACAATAACAACAACAATAATAATAGTAGCAATACATACATACAATGTATTCATTGAATAATGCAATCTTCAAAAGTTTTTGTGATTCTGCTTTTTTATTTAACAAATATTTAGTATTTATGATTAAAAAAAAGTCAACATCAACAGATTTAGTTTGATTTTGTAGAACACAAAAAGTGTTCACGCTTAGATATTGCTTGATAATATTAGCAGATTTGGCATTCTGTCCTGGGAGAGAACTCTGAGCTCAGTGATAATGTGTTGGGGAGGTTATGTGATAGATTACAGTTTACAAATTACTCTATTTAAAATGTTATAAGGGATGTACCTTTTCAATTACTTTATAAAAGTAAAGTAATTACTTTTGTAAAATGATTACATCTGAATACTTTTTGATTACTTTTAAGCTATTAAAGGATATTTTTAACTAAATAATTTTCAAGCATTTATACCAAGCAGGTGTGACCTTACCATAACATTCTGTTCACTGTTAGAACTTCAAAATCTTTCATCACTTGAATTGAGATTATATTAATTTAATCTTAAAGTACAGCCACCCCAAAACTAGACCTTATAACAAAACACTGTTTATTGTTGTTACAAAATCTAAATTTTGTTTTTCGTGCAGGGGGATTTCTGTGGCATTTGCAATAACGCAATACATCTAAGCTATTTTTGCAATTTCCATTGTTATATCAAAGCAACCTAAATCCAAGTAAATCATATCTTAGTGATCAATAAAACTGTCACTGAAACATATGAGGCATAATTGTTCAGTTCAGTTATTTACTGTAAATAATATGCTGTACCAAACAGAAACAAATTATAGGATATAACAGCAAAAAACCAGGTGTTACACATTTAAAATACTATAGTAATTTATAGGAAAATGAAATATTTAGGAATGAGCATTATATTGTATATATATTTACAACTCTTCATTAATAAATTACACTACATAACGCAGTATCATTAGTAACTATCATGAACTAATAGTAATTACCATAGTATACTATAGCCTTTACAGTATATATATATATATATATATATATATATATATATATATATATATATATATATATATATATATATATATATATATATATATTACTATAAAAAAATCATCATTTTCGCGGTCATATGGCTTTATTTTCATTGGCTACACATCGGCCTCACAGCTTCGTGTATGTTGGTGCCATCACATATTGATCCGCGATCAGTAAATGTAGCTTGTGTGGATGCTACTGCGCTATTTGACTAATAAAATAGCGTTGCTACTGAAAAGCTATTTGATTTAGAAAAAGTAGAGATGCTACTGAGAAATGTAGTTAAGCAGAAAAGCACTATAATAAATGGCCTTGGCAGAAGGCATCCTGCATATAAAAAACAGGCAAAGTAACAGATTAATATTAATCATCATATCCTAGATTTTTAAAGAAAGTTTTGAGATGTAACCCCATTAGTAATCTTTAACATTTTCGTAAGTAGCTGTAATTTAATTACACATTTTTTCTCAGTAACTGTAACAAACTACAGTTTCATTTTTGTAATTAAATTACGTAACGCAGTTACATGTAACTAGTTTCCCCAAAACTAGAGATAATTGAGCCCAAGGCTCCCTCCTGGTTGATAAGCATGTAAGGGGGTACGAGATCAAGTAGTTCTTGAGAGCTCCCCCTGGTAAAGGAGGAAATGGGGTGGATGGGAGATTCTTTAAAAAGAAGATAAGGTAGAAGATAAGGAAGTAATACTAGATGGACTATTTATAGTAAGTTTGGATTAATCCGATTAGCTTACTGATGATTATAGACTAGAGACCAGCCACAATCAATCATATCATATGCTCGTCTTGAAATGAATTTGTGCAACTTCACTTAATGAAGAATCCATAATGAAGTGACTAAAAGAATCATTCTAAAATAACTGAGAGAGAATCAAACCAGATAACATTGTCCATTGTCTTTCTCCCTACCTCTTACATCACCTAATGATAAAACCACTCTCTTCTGTAGATCCTGCAGTTCAGCGATACCTCTAATACTGCTCAGATGGACGGCAGAGAAAAACAGACGCAGCGAAAAAAGACAGAGAAAACATCTGGACAGACAGACAGTTGCGTAGCAGAGACATTCATCTTATCCGCATCCTTGCACGGTCGTCAGACTTGAATTATATTTTAATGCTTTCCATTGGGATGCGTCCCCGTGCCAGAATTATCATCATGTGTGCTTCGACACAAGGAGACAAACATTGCAGCCAACAAGATAGAGCTGCGATGGGAGAAGGAGAGGAATGGTGGAGAGACAGAAGAACTGACACAAAACTGAGGTTAGCACAATGCTACCTTACATCTGTAGAAAAGGTTTAAAAAAAAACATCCGCCATATGCATCTAGATATGGATGAATGATAATAGCATATGGCAAAGAACTCATGCACAATTTATTGTACAATACAATAACCAAATGCATATACGGACGAATATGTTTTTTTTTTTTCTCCCGTCTCCTGGCTGTGGTGCGGTGTCATTAAATTTGCAAAAATTCCATGCAGAAATAACATCTTGAAAGCTCATTAAGTGTCAGTCAAGTCATAAGCTACATGGAAAAATATAAAAGTCGCTCTCATTCACTTAGCCCCACGGCAACAGAACTTCCAAAGTAATATACAGCATAATGGCTTATTAATAACCCTGCATTAAATAATATCCTGAGCTGAATCTTCAGAACGCAGTGTGACTGAACAGGTCTCTTTGAACATGCCAACACCTTCTGAAATATAAATCAAAAAAAAAGAAGAAGAGAAGGCCAAAAGAGTTCAGTCTGCTTCTCTTGATTTTCACCAGCAGATTATCTCCACCTGTTCAGTTCACAAGCTGCTCTTTATAACTATTCATAGTATGTTTGACATTTGTTAATCCACGCTAATAATTGCTTTTAATTAAAGAGTAATCACAGTAATTGTAAACATTTCAGTCACCTCTGGAGATCTGAACAGCTGTTAGAAATTAAAATTTGACAATTTAAGCCCATTGTGGCACAAACTAAACATGTTTCAGAAGTCTTTGGGAATATAATCACCCCCCCCCCCCTTCTTTTCAGTACATAATGATTGCAGCATGGGTTTTAACACTTTGTCATTTCATGCACATTACAGTAACTTCATCAAGAATGTTTAATTGCAAATATATTCCCCTTGGGCTAGTCCCAGTACGGGACAAATACTTAGTAGCTAAAAAAATACAAAGATCATTTTCACAACACCATGTTCATTCATTTCTTCACCTGCACACGCGTCAAGCAACTGAAGCAGAGTAAACAAACAGAGGTTTATCAAAAGCATTTTATGGATATTTTTTTATACATTGGACATTAGGAAGGAAAATCTATCTGCACTGTAAAAACAAATCCGAAATTTTACGGTTTAATTCCGGCAGCTGGGGTGCCGGAAAAAAGTAAAATAACAACCGTTAAATTACAGAAATTTACTGTAACAAAACGCATATCAAATTACAGAAATTTAATAGAAATTTGAATTTAGGGAAATTTCTGTAATTTGATATCCGTTATTATATCCGTAAAATTACGTTTTTGTTTTACAGTGTGACTAACATCTAGCAGTTAAATGTGTCTGGGAAAATATTCAGAAGCTTTTATTTTCATAAGCAGTGCAGATGTGAATGCGTCTGAATGTTCTGATGGGCTGGAGTAGACGTCTCATGTCTGCACGTTCTAAATGTAAACGCTCTCTTTCTAGCAATTTTCCTTATGCGTTCACACAACACAGCATTTCCCAAAATTACAGGTAATGTTACAACTTCTCTTTCCGCAAAATTGCCAAAATGAATTTACCTGTATTTTCAAAAAGAGCCTGTTCACACACAGCACATACAGGCTAAAAAGTAATCCATCTGCAAATCTGGCTAGATTATTTCAGTTCACAAATTTGACTTTAATTTTTGTGAAATGGCTTGGGAGCAGTCTATTCAAAGGTACAGATTTAATCATTGTAAGCATTCTCTGGGATCAAACGGACTAGACGCTACTATAGCACAGTGATCTATCAGTTGAGCCCAGGGGTGTCCAAACTTTTTGGGCCAAGGGCCAGATGCAAAAAAAACAACGTTGTCGCAGGCCAAATTTTACACACATCACACAGACACGTGTGTATATATATATATATACAGTTGAAATCAGAATTGTTAGCCCCCGTTTATTTTTTCCCCAATTTCTGTTTAACGGAGAGAAGATTTTTTTCCACACATTTCTAAACATATTAGTTTTAGTAACTCATTTCTAATAACTGATTTATTTTATCTTTGCCATGATGACAGTAAATAATATTTGACTAGATATTTTTAAGACACTTCTATACAGCTTAAAGTGACATTTAAAGGCTTAACTAGGTAAATCAAGTTAACAAGTTAAGGTAATTAGGCAAGTTATTTTATTACAATGGTTTGTTCTGAAGACTTAAGGGGCTAATAATTTTGACCTTAAATGGTTCATAAAAAAATTAAAACCGCTTTTATTCTAGCCGAAATACAACAAATAAGTCTTTCTCCAGAAGAAAAAATATTATCAGACATACTGTGAAAATGTCCTTGCTCTGTTAAACATCATTTGGGAAATATTTAAAAAAGAAGAAATAAATCAAAGAGGGGCTAATAATTCAGACAGACAGACAGACAGACAGACAGACAGACAGACAGACAGACAGACAGACAGACAGACAGACAGACAGACAGACAGACAGACAGACAGACAGATAGATAGATAGATAGATAGATAGATAGATAGATAGATAGATAGATAGATAGATAGATAGATAGATAGATAGATAGATAGATAGATAGATAGATCATAACAAGAATTGCTGCTTAATTGAATGCCTGTAATAGCGACACCCGGTGGTTATTTATTGAACTACGTTCATTTTTGTATAGCGGGCCAGATTCTATTGATATTTATAAAAAGCCTCGCGGGCCGCCACAAAACTGATTGCGGGCCGCAGATGGCCCGCGGGCCGTAGTTTGGACACGCCTGGTTGAGCCACACCAAACAGATTTTTACATAAATGAAAGGGCATTGTGTGTTATGCCTTAATTGTAGCTCCAGCACTATTTTAGTAAACTCCCCTGTGGATGGATTTTATTTCAAGAAAGTTAGAGGATAGGTTCATCTTTTGACACCGATGAATATCTTGTCCCTGAATGAATCAGTTTTCTTAATAAATCAATTAAAGCCAACCCAGCTAAAATTGTAGCAGTGATAAAAGCTGATGAAATGGATATGCATATTTGCAAGTGCTCTACAATCTGATACTAAAATGATGTCTTTTACGTTACTAGAGCATTTTATTGCTTTAAAGCAAGCTGCTTAACTGCATTAAACACAAAGCACAATGTCAGGTAGTTCAAGGAAACTTTTCAAACTCTTAAAACTTGAAATAAATTAATGTTTTTATCATTTTTTTTGTCTTACGCTAGTTCATTCAAACACTATTAAAGTTTCCATCACAGCTAAGTTGATAAGCACAATTGCAATTTACCTGTGTTGAAAGACTATTGTTGCACTTCCCTATGGATCTGCAATGGCATTCAAGTTGGTGTTGATTCAGTAGTTTCTTCTCACAGCTGGCTTATGGCTAAATGTTTGCTACAAAAAAAAAAAAAACGTGATATATGCCTTATAGCAGTGTTTCTCAACCATGATCCTGGAGGACCACCAACACTGCATATTTGGATGTTTCCTTTGTCTGTCACACTTATTTCAGGTCTTTCAGTCTCTGCTAATGAGCTGATGATCTGAATCAGGTGGGTTTGGTGAAGGAGACATGAAAAATGTGGAGAGCTGGTGGTCCTCCTGTAACATGGTTGAGAAACACTGCAAAAAGCAAATCGCACTGTTCTGTTCAGTGGGATGTCTGTCCATGGATCTCCTGGCAAGATTGGACAGGGTTGTGTGCACCAACACATTTTTTGTCTTGTTTCTAGTCCAAATAATCTAAAAATTCCTAAATCAAGAAGAATTTTCCAGACAAGCAAAACATATTGTCTTGTTTTGAGAAATAATATGCCAATATTAGGTGAATTTTTCCTTAAAACAAGCAAAATAATCTGCCAATGGGGTAAGCAAAATAATCTTACGTCGAAAGAAAAAACAAGATTAATTTGCTTACGCCATTGGCAGATTATTTTGCTTGTTTTAAGGAAAAATTCACTTAATATTGGCATATTATTTCTCAAAACAAGACAATATGTTTTGCTTGTCTAGAAAATGGTTCTTGATGTAAGAAATTTTAGATATTTAGACTAGAAACAAGACAAAAAAATCTAAGCAAGACAAGCATTTTTTGCAGTGAAGTCGCTCACCAAAAGTTGCAAGCATGATTTAGGAGACTTTTTGATTTGTGAGGCAAATCTAGTAGCCACAGAATCTAGCTGTGCATCTAGTTAAAATGTAGTTATTCAACCTCTGATAAAACTTTAGAAACATTATTTTAGGGTCAAAAGTAGAACAATGCCTTAGTCAAGCCATCTGCAAGGCTGTGCGGAATGAAAGTACAGTATTGTTTAACAACATACGCTACTAATTGTTCAGCTGATGAAACACCTTCCTGGAAAAACATTCAGTAGGAAAGAACTTCATAAAACAGTTTTGAAAGCTGTGAGTTGTGAAAATGACATCATCTAAGACCAATCAGCTGCAAAAGGAAAGTTATTTGCTAACTTTGTTTATTGTGTAAGCTCAAATGGATCTGTACAACACATGTTTGTTCTCCCTGGACAATAAGCAAGATGTTCCTCATATATCAGAACATCCGATCACTGCTGGACCTGTGATGGATTGACCACCTGTCCAGGGTGTTTCCCTGGCCTGAGATAAGCTGGGACAGACTCCAACTATCCCTACAAAGTATGGAAGATGACTGGATGCTGGATGGACAGAAAGCCATTTTGCTAGGATCAAAGCATAGCCTCATCTCAGCACTGACGTATTTAGAGGGACTGGACAGCATAAGTAAGACACTTCACGAGGCCACCCTCCAAATAACTTCAGTGCTTCTTGGATTGTTGACAAGTGTGTGTTATTCATTCATTCATTTTCTCTTTGGCTTAGTCCCTTTATTAATCAGGGGTCACCACAGCGGAAGGAATCGTCAACTTATCCAGTATATATTGTATGCAGCGGATGCCCTTCCAGCTGCAAACCATCACTGGGAAACATCCTCTCATTCACACTCAAACACTACGGACAATTTAGCTTACTCAATTCACATATACCACATCTTTGGACTGTGTGGGAAAACGGAGCACCCGGAGGAAATCCAAGTGAACACAGAAAGAACATGCAAACTCCACACAGAGTCGCCAACTGACCCAGCCACGGCTCGAACCAGCAACCTTCTTGTGCGGCTAAAATCTGGGCTCTTTGATCATTGGTTCAACATGTTCACAGCCACTAAATGGCCGTGGCAAACAAATCTTCTCCTCAACGAAGTTCTGGCAGTGTCAGATTTCAGACACTATTCTGCAGATGACCAT